ACCTTGTCTCCTCCTTGCCCATCTTCAGATCACCCCTGAAGACCTTACTCTTTGATCATGCCTAGGGTCACCTCCCCCTTTCTCTGGCTTGGCGTCAACCTCCGCCACTGTTAAACACTACCCCATGTGAAAGGCACTACATAAATACAAGCTGTTATTGTAAGGATGTCAGTATAAAGGGGGATGCTTAAATTAACTTCTTTTTGTTTCTGTTGCCTCGTTATATTTGAAAATGGCAGTTTCGATTGCATCCTGTAATTTGACCCGAGTCTCTATAAAGTACCTGCATTGTGTATTCCCAAACCAGGTCCACAGCATGGTTCGGTTTCACGCTGACTGTAATGCGAGCCACGCTATGTCATTTTGTCTACTGTGTATTGAGCTGGCCAGCAAAGTGAAAGCAGCATCTGTGTCAAATGCTCTGTGCAGGTTACAGAACTGGGTCTTGGGAGAATGAGGTTCTGGGATAAAATACAATTTACATTTACATTCACCTTTCACATCAGGAGGACGTCCCAAAGTGCTTAAATGTTTTATGGTTTTAGCCCAAGTTTTGCAGTATTTTGGGAAATTGTTCAATTGAGACAATTTGGAATCTACAAGGCCATTCACGGCCTCGCTCCCTCCTACCTCTCTGACCTACTATCCCCCTACCTACCTGCCCGTACCCTCCGTTCCTCTGGCTCCAGTCTGCTCCACACCCCCCGCCCCAACCGCCCTACCATCGGTGGTCGGGCCTTCAGCCTCTCAGCCCCTCGGCTCTGGAACTCTATCCCCAGTGCCTTCGCCGCTTCCTCCCTTTCCTCCTTCAAGGCCGGTCTCAAGACCTTTCTCTTTGACCGAGCCTTCGGCTCCCCTCTCGACTCTCTACCCCCTCCTCGCTCCCTCCCTTCCCTCACCCTGACCATTTCCCCCCACTGCTCGGGTCCCGACCCAACTGTACAGTGCCTTGGGACGTCCTCCCGACGTGAAAGGCACTCTATAAATGGAATCTTGTTGTTGTAGTTTTACAGTTCTGTTGAACTAATCTTAAATTTTAAGATTTTAAGCTAAGCCTGTTCACTTTTTGTAAGCTCCAGTGAATCGAATTGCCCCAGATTGTAAATTTTGTGGGAATGTTTAGACTATTTTTGTTTCTTTCACACGTGGGAGATTTGTTTAAGATCATGTTATTCTCTTCACCTATGCAACCTAACATCCACTCTGGTCTGATCTGTCCATTTAGAGGGCAATTTATTTGGACTCCCAAGGTTTGTGTCTCTCATTCAGAGTGTTGGAGAGCCACCTCTATCAGATGTCTTGACTAAGGCTGGGAATATCATCCTGGGGGAGGAGAGAGGAGTTTCTTCCAATGTCCTGGCCAACAATCCTCCACATAACTTCATGCTGTTGTGCAATATTGCTGTTTCCAGATTGCGTTTGCCTACGTATAGTCCTTGCACTTAACTGTGAAATGTTCTGAGATGTTTCAACAATGTAGAGGCAAATCAAAGCCGAGGATGTTAAGTCAGTCGTGCTTAATAAGGCTGGGGTTCATCCTTTTTTCCTCTCTCCATAAACGATGATGAAAGTTTGTGTTGGTGCTGGAGTATTTTGTAGCAAAGCAGGATTAGGAGAAAGATTTTCTTTTGTTACTTTTTGTTTTTCTTTCAATACTTTCTGTTACAATTATCCACTTTACACATGACTTTCCTTTTCTTATTCACTGTGTTTCCATTCTTTTTTTCTTTTCATGATTGATTCCTTCATTTGTGTGTCTGCCATTTTCTTACACCATCCAGTTTACGGATGGAAAGTATTGGATTTACTCTCCGCTCCGCAATTGTTCCCGAGCCAGTTCAGTGTCTGGTGATCATGTAAGTGGGATTATTTTTCTTTGAAACCCTACCTTGTCTTGTAGTTCTCATCTCATTGTAACAATCTTTTACCCCAGCACTTCTACACCATTGCAAAGCTTTGAAATTCATGCTTTACTTTTTAGCAATCATAGAAGAGTCGGACGCTGGTGCTGTGCTGTATGTTGGTAGTGCAGTGTGAGCTTCACTGATGTGCTGGACAGGGTGCTTTCACACTTAAGTGTCAGCTCGGCTCAGTTGGTATAGCCTCTGCATTAGAAGTTGTGAGTTGAAACCGTATGACAGTGATTTTATAGCTCAGTGCCGACAAACAATTACTTGCATTTATTTAGTACCCTTCATTTAGGATAGCATTGTGCAACACTTCACAGTGTCACTGTGGAAATGAAGCTAGGAGGAAGGGGTGGGGGATAGGGAGAAGGTGACCATAAGTGTGGTTTAAAAGTTTTTTTTAAGATACAATTTAAAAAGTGAGCGAGGTGGGGGATAGCTGCAGAGTTCCAGAGGTTGGGGGCATTATGACTGAAGGCTTAACACTTGCCTGCCGTGCTTCGCAGAGTATTGCAGTAGATTCTGAGGAGCATGGCCCTCTCATCATGGTGACTACACTTCTATTTCTGGGTGTCTTAGAAGCCAGTGTGTCTGAACCAGTCCTGGTCATTATAATTATACATCCATAAAACAAACCTTTCAGTAATTATGAACTACAAGAAAATGTATTACACAGCTACAAGCAAAGCCTTTCCTTCCAAGAGAGACATTCATGGGGAGTTAAGTGTATAACCATGTTACCACACGACACTGGAGGAAGAGAGGCGATTTGTAAATTATTTTGGATGGGAAAAGTACTTAAAGTGAGAAAATAATGACTGTGACTGAAATACAAACCAATATGTGTTTTTCCTCTGTGCTTGCTGAGCAGACAAAACTCAAGCTGATAATAACATATTTATTTTGTTAGATACATGCTTTACTTGTATAAATTTGATACTTGCTGGAAACTAACGGGCGTGGATCTGGTCATTTCTTATGTTAGCAAATTCTCTGTGTGCCCCTCAAATAATCAAGAATTAAAGAGGAACTTCCGAGCAAGTCTTGCAATAATCTGCTTCCTTCTTGTATTCAAACTTTTCTGTGTGTCTAACCTTTTCCTTCTCTCGCTCGCTGATGATTGTCTCATTTTGCTTCCATTCTTTCTCTTCCTCTTCTGCGTCCTTTTTTCTCCTGCTGCTCAGTGTACAGAAGACAGGGCCTGGATTTACTCTCCTCTTCACTACGGTTCTCAAGTCCGTTCAGTTTCAGACGGTGAGAGTGAAACTGTAAGTGTAATGTCCCGTTCCTTTAGAAGTTTGCTGTTAAAGGTATAGAGCTGCCGGACTGGGGTATGCAGGACTGGTGCTTGTTCAATGTAGTGTAGCTTGTGTGCAACGTAGTATAGCTTATTTGGTTTTGCCTGGCTTTCCTCTGTACAGTGTGAGCTGAATGTGTGACCACTTTTATCTGTGAGTAGCATTACTATTCATGTACAGTGTTTGGGCATGTGGTAAGTCGCCAGCATTAATTAACCAAAATGCAAGCAAATGTGGTGATGTGAAAATCACTGTCTGAGAGTAAGTAATAGAACCTGCGGTGGTTTCAATTAGAGGAACACGTATCAGACATACGACTTCAAACTGCATTTTATTTTCTAACATTTCAGTCTCTGATAATACTCACTTACCCCAAAGGCCAGTAAAATAACCTCTTTATTGGCTGTGAGTCAAACTGGCTGTTTTTACTTTTTAGCCAAATTTAGGGAACAAACGGTTATCCTTTTCTGCACTTGCTCGATCTCTGAACGTTTGCACCATGTGAAGCCTTCACAGTGACGGGTTCTGATTTATTTTTGCCCCTTCTGGAACACGAAAAAAAAATGGAGCTGGCAACACAAAATCTGCAGAGCTGTCTGATTTTTATATTGTCATCATTTAAAACTGCCCACATGCCACTGAACTACAGCTATTGTTCTTCCTTCAGTGGCTAGTTTACGCTGCATTCACACATTGTATGCTTACAATGCTTTTGGTTATAGCAGGTTCAACTATTTGATTGGCTTTGGACCAGCTGATTGCTTAAAGATGTCATTTGCATCAAATGTTTGTGCCCTACCAATTGCCCAATTTGTGCTATGGCAGCCAGGCTCAATTTGTAGCACTCTTGCCTTTGAGGCAGAAGGTTGTGGCTTCCGGTCCCATGTTAGGAATTTGAATTCCTATAGTCTAGGCTGATGCTCCAGTGAATTACTGCATTGTCAGAGGTGCCGTCCTTCAGATGAGCTGTTTACCAAGATCCTCTATGTGGGTGGATGTTATAAACGTATCATGACTCGATTCAAAAAAGAGAAGCTCGTTTATAATAAATAATAATAATCCTTGCGTTTGATATAGCACTTTTCACGTCTTCTAGTTTCTTGCAGTATCTGGCTAACCATTGTCAGCCTGGCTCATCGGCACTGCTTGGAAGGGTAGACCAGTCACTGGTCACTCAACTCCTGTTAACCCTGCAAGCCAAAGCCCTAAAGGGTAGGGTGGGCCTAGCTGGACAAGAGTCAGGAAAGCTTGCTATCTGTGGCAAGTGCTATCAATGGCAAGCTATGTGTGTGTGTACTTCGGGGTACTGCTGGTTAGATTCCGGGCTCACTCTGGGGTCCCCAAGCTTTGGCTCTTGCCAACCTGAGCCTAATACTTTCTGGAATCAGGTAAGCAGGATGCATCCCTTCAGGGAGAGAGAGCGCATTCCATTCCAACAATCTATCTCTGGGATTTCCATGTGCAGGCGGGATGCATGGGATACTCAGTTTGGATATTTAATTGTGGGACATTGGTGTGCACACATTGGCTGCTGCTTTTGCCTACAACTACAGATACCTTACAGTAAAATCCTGTGAAGCACTTTGAGATATTTTAATGACTTAATGAGTCATTAAATGTAAAGGTTATTTTACTGACTGAAAGCAACACTTGCAATAAGTTTTACTTGTTCGGTGCTGTATCTGAGATGGTTCAATGTACTATCTAAGACTGTACCAGGCATATATGGGCAATTAGTTAAGATTGGGTTAAAATTTACTGTCATTAATTTTCTGTCTATCGTTTTTTATCTCAGTAAATCTTATTCAGATTATTTGAAAATGGAAGTTCTTCTGGAGGGGATGGCGTCCTTTCAGTCAGAAGCTGCCTCACTCATTGCATCCGCGTGATCCGATGGCTCCGTTCAGTGAAACTGGCTCCCATTACCTGCAACCTGAGCAGAGGAAACCTTAGGAACTGAGCTCATCGTGAGGAACGCTGTTTGTGATGCAGAAACAAACTTATGCCTAACTTGGCCCACACAGCAACCATCCCGTGTTTTGTTTAGCTGTTGCACACTGTGACCCCTCACTGTCTCCTTGTTCCCTTGCCTAGATGAAGCATCTAGATTTATTCATAAGTTCATTCATTCCATCAGTGCAGTTAAAAGTTGATTGCGTATTTCCCGTAAGCAACTTCACAGTGAGTATTTTTTTTAACTCCCAAGTATGTGCAGGTTTTGATGTGCTCCCAGTGATGCAAATCATGTGTAAATAATCAAACTCCTCCTATGTGCAGAGGTGTTATTTTGTGTGCGTGGAGGTGGGCGGGCGGGGGGGTGTTTGGAGGGTGGGGAGAGCTTAAGGTCTTGTCCGATTATCTGTGATTGAGTTAAGTGGCTGAGTCGTACAAAAACATTGGTACCTTTAAATAAAATATCCTGGAAGCACAATTCAAACACACTGCAGGTTCCAGAAATACTTTCTCCTTCCACACACTGTATATAGGATGAAAGGTGACTAGAATTGACTCTTCCAAACTTATTTGAAACTTGAATAGCATTTTCAGGTGCAAGCTGTAACAAATGGTTACATGACATCCTCCCTTAGCTCCAAATCTCTAATCGCAATAAGTATCATAAGCTATTGATTAACTGGTTTTACTTTGGAAATTGAGATGTCCAGAAGTGTGCGCGAGTGTGTGTGTGTAACGATTTGTCACAAACCAAATATTTAATCCATGCAGTCAATGATAAATGCCAAAATGTTGAAGGAATGATCAATTTTTTTAATTAAAAAAATGTGAACTTATTTAAGTAGCTATAAACCCTGCCTCGCTAGGGCTGTCTCTCATCTTATAATTTCTCTTGAATTTCATTTGTTTCCTTATTATAAATCAATTGCTTTTCACAACGCTTAATGTTAGGTTTTTGCACTTGTTGATGCACGTGCAGAAAACTAGTGAATGATCGGGGAGCTGGGCTAGAGGGGGACTGCTATTGTAGGGTTACATTTTATATTTATGTAGAACAAATCATTTGGGTTTGAGTCATTTCTGAAATCGTGTGAGTGAAGTTCATTGTAAAGCAGTGCCATTAGCACTAGAGTATGTCTCCACCTGGGAACTGTCTCCATCTGAGAACCGTCGGGGGTGGGGGGGGGTCAGTGAGAATACTCTTGAGCGGAACTGTATCTGACTTTCAAATGTCGCTTCCATCACTAGTACCATCACTACAGGTCTGCTCTGGAGTCTTTGCATTATGTCTGGCTCCTCCTATTGGAAGTGGATCAGTTTGAGTTTTTTTATGCATTACATCCATTTGGATAACAGTATGAAATATGCTGTCATGATCTGTATATCTTAAAACGAAATCCTTTACTGAGGAATTGGATCATTAAAGTCCATATTGTATTGTTCACAACAGATTGATATGGCAGTGGGGGAGGGTTAGGCTCTGGCGTGAGGTAAGCCAGTCATTGGGGAATGATCTAACAACAATAAATTACATATGTATAACACCTTTCACGTCAGGAGGATGTCCCAAGGTGCTGAAAGGCAAACCTTCTGAAGCCAAGTGTGTATCACAGTATTTCACTTTGACACCATTGGAGATGTCCTTGTAAGGAAGATGCAGAGTAAGTAATAACTACAGCTTTTTCTTTTGCTGTCACTGAAGAGTGAAGTGAGCTGCGCGGAGTGTCTAAAACCCATTTTTTACCCTCAAAACCAGTATAAGAAAATAATTCCTACTTGTCACTAGTTCAGGAAGGCAAGGTATCATTGGAGTTTCAGCAGATTTGAATTGCGTGTTGAGCATCATCCTCTCAGGCTGAGAGTGCTTACTGATGAAGCAAATGAACTGGAAATCTTCAGAGCCGCCAATGCAAACAATCGCGTCCATTGGACCAAATAAAAACGCATTTTGGAGAAAACAATAAAGTTCAACACATCACAAATCTCGACCAGTCATCCAGGTGATTGTTGGACATGTTTGCAGTTAAATCACGAGAGATGCGGAGAGATGCAGGACCTGAAGGTCCTTCGGCTTATTTGATCCCTTCCTTCCAGAATACCGACTCTACTATATTACAATAACAGCATCAAGCTGTTTGACGAGACAATATGTTTATCCAACCATGTTGATCATTTTAAGGAACAATGAACACCTGATTGATTACGGATGGTAATTTAATTGACAAGGTCCACTGTCCAAAATCTTCAGAGGGTAGCTTCCCTGAGATTACATTACTACTTTGAAATTGGGCCAAAATACATTTGGCTTGGTGTTTTGCTTGTAGTAGATATTTGGACGCACGGCTGTTATTGCACACAGTGTCATTGATTCTTCACGAATCTCCCTCAATGTGGCGTGGAGAGTATATTGAGAAATAACATTCCGTAATTTCTGTAAATTGTTAATAAACCTGCCAGGCATCTTGACATTTGCTGCAGTAATTTTACTATATTTGTCTATTTACTGTTAATCCAGCCCCTAAGTTAAGAATGATTCACTTGACTTTCCATTACAATAGCTGATCCGATTTCGTTGGACGGTACATTTTGACACCGGAGATTTCAGGACGTGTAGTGATGTGTTGTAGCCTATTGTAACAATTGGGCAATTATAATCCCATGTTCAGTGTCTCACTCCTGACCTCAATTGTTTCCAGTGAGGTTCATAACTCAAGTTCATTGCTCTACTCCAAAATAATGGGAAGTGGCCCATTTCCATTCCTTGCCTCGGGTGGGAGGAAGAAAGGACAAAGTAACTTGCTAGTAGAAGGTTTATAAAATGTACTATTCCATAGAACATTCAGTCATCCCGAGGTCCCCATCTCCCCAGGTCTTGTAATGAAGACTGCACATAAATGCTATTTTGCATCGAGCCTTAGCCCTTGATGTTTCAGCTGTGAGGCTGCTGTCCTGACATTGAAGCCAGCAGCAAATTGCTCTGACTCTCCAGTCTCTTAATCTAGTCCCACAGATTTTCTCAGGTTGCAGTGAATCAGTGATATGAACAAGTGTTCCGTCTGGAGCAGGTGGTGCTGATTCCCTTTCATCACAGGTTAATTTGCTGGTCACCATAATGAACATTGAGTGTCTTGACTGCAGGGAACAATGGCTCTCATTGTGGGTCAGAAGCCAATGCAGTTTCACTCTAAATTGGGAGCAGCAAATCTGAGGGACGGTTCTCAAAATGCTGATTTTGTTTTTAGCACAAGTCTACAAGGAATGTGAGCTGAAGTCCCAACAAAGGGAATGACAACTTTGTTCTTTTTTTTAAAAAAAATGTGGTTGTGCTGGGAGTGGCAACTGTTTATTTTAGAAAACATTTCAGATTCCTGTTTTGTGAGAATAAAATCTCAGTCACATTATAGGATCTGCTGTTGGCGGGCTGACCTCTCAATAGCTGAAATTGCCCTCAGTGACTGAATAAAGGCAGAAGTTTCCTTTCCTGAATTCTACTGGGTCTGATATTGCTAGAAATGTATCAGTCACAATCTTGTCTTTCGCTCTCCAGAAATTAATTTACTTATAAGACCGTTAGTTAATACAGTATATTGCTTAAGTTGAGCAACTGCTCTGTGAAATAACGTTGTACATGTTCATTTTCTCCTTTTTTATACTAGTAAGTTTAGGATTTAACAGTGAATTCTGTGGGCTTCGGTATTGTTAAGTTGCTGACCGCATGTCACCTGGACACAGCTAACCAGCAGTCACAGCTGAAATGCAAGGTCACTAAGCACATTTACATTAACTCCTTGACTGAAGGGGAGCAGAGGTACATGTACTGTTGGCCTAAAATTGTTTTGCGTGGCAGTAAGTGTTTAAAATGTTTTTCCCCATTAAGTTCATTTGGAATTGGCTTTTCTCCGTCTAGTCCAGGGCTGTACTGCCAAAACTGCCCGGCTGGTGGTACTGCAGTATCGCTCATCTTGCAACGTCAGAACAGAAGCAGAGAACCAGGGAAAGTAAAAGTGCTGTAGAGTTTTTAGTAGATTAATACTTACTAATTGTAGATAAGTTGCATATCTGAGGAGTTCAGCGAGTTGGGATCAGAGAGCATTTGCTATTGGTGCGAGTTTGAGAAATCTCATCTCTTCGGGTGGGAAGTCATTTTAAGGGAACGTTTGAGCATCTAGTTCTTGTCCTGTGCACAACATTCTCATCTCCTTGTCATAACGCTCCCCCTGAAATGCGAAGCCTATCAACACGAATGCACAAACTGGCTATCTTGAATGGGGCCTTTGAAAAAATCTTTAATTCTGAACAAACAAATATTAAATGGGCATCATTTAACCTGTGGTCTTTCCTTTCAACCCCACCCCATCTCCTACAATGCTCCATTACAAACGATTTGATGTTCTCTTCGTGCCTCATTGATGGTTCCTGGATGCAGTGGTTAGCTTTGAGCGGCAGAGCCGGAATTTCACGTTCACATGCACCTAGATGCACGCAAGCCTGAAAAAAAATCCAATTACTGACCACCTTGCCCATTTTTGACGTATTTTTCTTGTTTTTTCCATCTTTCTCTTCCCTCATAATTCAGTCCCTAGCACCAGCATAAAGCTATAGAATTCCTTTTTGAAACTGTCATCAGTTTTGTCTCCCTGAGCAGATCTACTCACAGTCTATGTAAATGCTCCAGTGTAACTCAATCTCAGTAAACTCTTTGTTCACTGTTTCCTTCTGATTGAGACCAGGACACTGGACATAGCAACATTCTGTAAAGTCCATCTTGTCTTTGCCCTTTAAATCTGTGGATTAGGTCTGTGTCGCTTAGCCATAAACCAAGCCTTGTTGCCTGCAGATTGTCTCCTTCAGTGTCTATGTTAAACTCCATGTTCTGTTTGTTTTCCAAGTTTGGTAAATCTTTTCTTCTGTTGCATTGCAAAACTGAAGCGATTTGATGGTCAGTGTTTTGTGTTGCTTGCTACCTAATGTACAAAGGAACTCTTTTGGTGGAAATTGATCAGTTCCAAGGTGTGAGATGGCCAGTGTTAAAAGGCAAAATCTAACATTTGTAGGTACTGTAATTTACTGACTTAGTCAGTTTGTTGGTGTGCTTCCTTGGAATTTTAGTTTTTAAAACCTTTTCCTGCATTATAATTAGAATAGAATCAAAGAATCTTACAGCACACAAGGAGGCCATTCTTGCCTGTGCCAGCTCTTTGAAACAGCAACCGACTAACCCCACTCACCCGCTTTTACCCCAGAGCCCTGCATATTTTTCCTTTTTAAGTCCCTATCCAATTCTCTTTTGAAAGCTATCATCGAAATAGAATTCTTTGAATGCAGTGGATTCTTCTGTTCCACTGCTGTCAGTGAAACAATAGCTAAGTTGCAATAACTTAAAACCAGTAACCGATTTAAAGTGACTTGTTCCCTCTGTGTCCAACCTGCCAGCAAAAGGAGTGCTTTGTGGCTTGACCACAAGTGTCCGCAGCTGAACCCAGCTTAAGGTTATTTGTGGTGACTGGCAGAGGAGATGGAGGCCTCTCTGATCAGGTAGACTTAACAATTTGGTTAATTGTGTGATTTTTTTTTGAGAGGAAGAAACGATGTGTGGTGCTCGATTGTACAGTCTAATTTACAATGTTTGTTGAAATCCCTTTAGAATTTGCATTGTCCCACTCCACTGTCCCTGCCCTCAATGTGCTGTCCATTGTTATGGGTTTGTGTAACTCTGATATCCATTGAGGAATCCCATTTAAAAAAAAACTCAAATTAGATCCCATTGCCTAAGGTTCCCTTACCATGAGGTCGACTGCAATTTTACTGTTCATTTTGAAACCAGTTTGAGTCTAAACTATTCATTGAGCTGAGAAATAATCAAGTGTTAAGCTCACTGAATCTTGTATTCCTTGAACCATGGATTTGGTTTTGTGTCGTTTCTCTGAGATTTCCAAAGTTGTGGTTCTTCCTGAATTGAGGGTTTGAGAGAAGATCCATCAGAATACTTGAGATGTTGGTAACCCACTTGTTAGGTGGTCTTGGCTGGAGGTCTAAGATGAAATCCTACAAACTTTAGGAAAAATGCAGATAGCTGAGGTTTCTAACACTGGGGAGTGTAGTGCTACTGACTGAAATGACTGAAATTGTGAATATTCCGAATTCAACAGAAACCTTTGAATGAAATCTTCATCCCAATCCTTTTTACAAAGCAATGCACTGTAATTGGAAGACTCACATTGCCAGGCAGACTGTTTCAATTATTATCCTCAGCTGTTAGAGAGCTTTTGATTTAAAGCGTGACTAAGGCAGCCTTGACCAGGTCTCTGATCTACCCACTGAGCAGTGACCTGTCACACTGAGTTGGGATGGTGGGATTTTCACAGCCATCTCAAGGCCAGCATAAAGCAATAACAGAGATTCACTCCATTATGTAGTCGTTTCTCCGAGAATCTTTTTGCAACAGAGGAGTTGTGCAACTTCTTTGAGAACAAAAATGTGGCAATAAGTCGAATGAGTTCTAATTGAAGAGGAGGTGAATACAAGGCTGGGTGGAGCATTCTTGGTGATTTAGATTTAATTTTGAAAGTGTTTAAACCAACCTGAAAGGTTTTATATTTTACTTCCTTTGTTTGACTGGATGAATATTGGGAGTAACTCCAACCAGCTTAATAGAATTAGGGAAGGAAAGGCAAATGTATTTCACCTGATTGAATTTTCTTTCTTCTGAAATACAATTGAGCTCAAGTGTTACTGTAATCTGCAGACTGTGATCTCTATTTTTATAGTAAATTGTAATACTTTCAGTGTTTACCGCTGTACATTTTTATGCAAAGGTCAAACTGTATTTAATATCAGCGTTCTGAGTGAAGTTAGTTGTCATGAAATAGCAGACGTCAAAGGAAACCATGGGTTTGTAGCAGATCTTCTGATTTTTAGCGTTTGAATATCAAACCTAGTGTGCCCGTGCCATGATCTGTTGCTGTTTATTGTTATTGTTGTGTTGATAATTAAAAGCAGAAAACCTACAATGGGCCAGGGGCCAATTCTCGTCTATTCTGTACATACTCAATTCTTTGTATATTTGTTAATGGATGTACATACAAATTACACTGACTACTTCCCCTCCCCTTTATGTTTCCAATCAAAGGCTGAACATTAATCAATAGTTTATTCATGCCCAGAAGGTGGCATGTAGTATATATGAAATATTCAGTCTGAATAAAGTGCACTCCGTTATATAAGGTGTGAAATGGATTGAGCAATGTGAATCCATTCGATACTGTGACTAATGGATTTTATTATCAGTTGTGCATAACCAGGTAGTTTGTTTAACGTGTTCTGTTTTCTGCACTGCTCTCGCCCTCGAGAAATTCAGACCCTGTCTCAGACTCTTGTATCCACAGCTATTAGTGTGCAAGCGAGCTCAAAGTGGGAAAAAAACTTCAGATTGTTTTGATTTGGTGGTGACGAGGGAGTATTGGTTAATTGTACCGATGTACGTGTTTGTGCAGATTGGCAATCCTGACTTACAAGAATTAGGTTTGGTGACTCAGATGGGAATTGTTACATTGGCTATTTGTTCATGCTGCTGTTTTTTTTCTTATGGAATGTGGATATTATAATAAAACACTACATTGCTGAAATTTTTGAATGGCTTCTATTTTTCAAAACTTCACTGAAATAAATCTTCCTGCACAATAATAGACCTCGCATTTGAAATAGCACCTTATCACGTTGATGAAATGTCTCCACGTTGGGAGGACATCGCAAGCCACTATAAAAAGTGGTTTACACCCGAGCTGGGGGTCAGATTTGGGAGAGGTGGGGGCCAAAGGGTTGAGTGGTTAGAGCACTCGACTTGTAAGCGAGAGACCTAAGTTTGATTCCCGGCCAAGGAGGAACTTTGGGCAAGTTTCCTTTCCGCACACATCTGTTTACCTAGCAGTAAGTAGGAACCTGGTTGTTAGTCAATTGGAAATATTATCATTGGAAATATTTCCTTCCAAAAAAAAACAAATTGGTCACTCAATATATATCTATATATACATTCACTCTACAGTATACACTGAAACTCTTTGAGATGTCTCAAAGAAGTGATAAGGGGCTGTATCAAATGCAAGGATTATTATAATAAATATATGTATCCAATATATGGTGTGTATATATGGTGTATATAATATACAAAATGTAAAATAAAATATAAAAAATAATATATATATATATATATATATACACAATATATATCCCAAACACAGAATACTGCAGATGCTGGAATCAAACACAAAACAGAGCGCTGGGAACGCTCAGCAGGTCAGGCGCCGTCTATGGAGAAAGGAAAGTGAGGCGACGTTTGGGGTCTCCGGCCCTTCGCCAGAGCGGTGGCGCGGTGGGAGAGGATCAGCCAACACATTCTCTCATTTGTCTCTTTCTTGTCCACCCTGTCCTGCCTCCCACTCTCAATGTGTCCTTAAAAACCTCTCCCTCAAGGGCGATAAATAATTTTGAAAAAAATATATACAAATATATATTATATTTATATTACACACACACATATATATATATATATATATATAATCCTTGTGTGTGGGATGGGTGGGCTCGAACCCGTGCCTCCTGCCCCAGATCCAGTGCACCTGTGGCCACCTGCGGTTTGGTCGCAGCTGATGCCCATGTGGGGGCGGGGAGGCAGAGCAATGTGCCCCCCCCCCCGCACGGGTGCTTTGATTGGCTTGCGGCTGCAAAGGTAGGCGGGTTACGGGTGATTGACATCACACCCGACCAATCGGCGATTAGCTGCTGCCTGACGTACCGTGACGAGCGGTGCTACGCGCCGGCGCCGGTGATTGACGTCAGGCGCGACCAATCGGCGGTTAGCTGCTGCCTGACGTAACGAACGGTGACCCGCGTCGGCGGCCGGCGCCGGTGATTGACACCAGGCGCGACCAATCGGCAATTAGCTCTGGCCGCAGCTAATTGCCGATTGGTCGCGCCTGGTGTCAATCACCGGCTCCCCGCCCTCTCCCCTGTGATTGACAGGCCGGCGATGGCCGCGCGCTCCGGGCTGCAGCTCGGCCGTTGGTGGCTGCGAGGCGGCGGCGATGGCCTCCTGAGGCCCGGGCCTCCCGCCAGAGGCTACGCCAAGAAAGCGGGTGAGTGTGTGAGGGGGAGGGGGTGAGGGAGGTGGGGAGGGGGTGAGGGAGGTGCGGGGAGGATAAAAAAAAGAAAAGAAATATCGGGATTCGCGCCCGGGTTTCAGGCCTCCGATTGAGGTCCCGACCGCTCTCACTGCTGCCCCCTCAACCGCACGTTTCCCCCCTGAACCGCGCGCGCACACACACATTCACCTCATCCGCGCATTCCTCTCGACGGCACACACGTCCCTTTCATCCGCACACACACACACACAACCCCCTCATCCGCGTACACACACACACACATTCCCCTCATCCGCGTACACACACACCCCCCCCATCCGCACATTCCTCTCAACCGCACGCACAGACCTCTCATCTGCACATCTCCCCCTCAGCAACAACGCATCGACCTTCACGCGTTAAGAGCTTGAGAGCTCGTAACAGAAGACCCATTTAAGGGAGTGTGTGTGTGGGGGAGGGGGAGTGTGTGTGGGGGGGGGCTGTGTGTGTGTGGGGGGGGAGTGTGTGTGTGGGGGGGGGAGTGTGTGTGGGGGGAGTGTGGGGGGGAGAGTGTGTGTGGGGAGGGGGTGTGGGGGAGTGTGGGGCGGAGGGGGAGTGTGTGTGGGGGGGAGTGTGTGGGGGAGGGGGAGTGTGGGGGGGGGAGTGTGTGTGGGGGGGGGAGTGTGTGTGGGGGGGGAGTGTTTGGGGGAGAGACTCCTAATAGAAGTGCTTTAAAATGATAGAAGGGTTCGATAGGGTTACCATCAATCAGCTGTTTGCAGTGCGGGGCTCCGCCAGAGGGGACACGAGTGTAAGAGAGTTAAAAGAGAACTATTTCAGGAGCACTTTCACACAGAGGGCAGTGAGACCGAGCAATTTGCTGCTGAAGCCGCGGTTGAATCAATGAAGATGCGTTCAAGAGGAATTGAGGCTTTCACATGAGGAAGAGGGGAGTAGAAGGGAGCGACACGGAATGCGTGGAGTACAAACACTGGCACCGACTGTTGGACCTCGTGCCCTGTTCCCGTGTGGCCAGTTCTTTGTAAATCTCTGTAAGCGCGGCAGAGGGTGTTATAATAATAATAATAATAATAATCCTTGCATTTGATATAGCGCTTTTCACGTCGGGAGGACGTCCCAAAGCGCTTCACAGAACACACTGTGAAGTGAATTGACTGTATATTTGTGGGCGAACGCGGCGGCCAATTGATCACAGCAATGTCCCACAAACAGTCGTAGATTGAAAATGACCAATTTATTATTGTTTTTGGTTTTGAAGGGATTATTATTAGGCTCTGTGTGGAGTAAGGAAACTTGCCCAAGGTTTCGCCCTCTGCCTGGAATTGAACTCAGGTCTCTCACTTGCAAAGCGAGTGCTCTAACCACTGAGCTACAGGACTCCTCAGCGTGTTGACGCTGAGAAGGGAGAGGTGACCGTAGGCACAGGCACAGAGGAAGGTCCTCAGGCGTGATGTGAAGATGGAAAAGGAGGGGGCAAAGCGGAGGGATTTGAGGGAAAGAGTTCCAGAATTTTGAAGCAGAGTGACTGAAAGCCCTCCGCTAATGGTGAAGCGGAGGGGACGAGGGACAAGCAAGAGGCTGGAGCCGGCCGAGCGAAGGGCGTGGGAAGGGGAGTGGGGTATGAGCAGGTCGGAGAGTACAGTCAGTGCATACAGTGATTTGTCTGCGGGTTTGAGGACTCTGAAGTCGATCTGTCCAGTATTGGGAGCCGGTGGAGCCTGGCAAGGACTGACTGGGGTGATGGAGGTAATTAAGATGATAAGGCGTTATAAAGCTCTTCCTTTTTATAGACATTTACTACTATTTGGTAACCGACTGCAACATTTCCATGAAACCTGACGTGACATTTTTCTTATTTTTTGATGCATTTATTTTATTGTACTTTTAGTAAACTGTTTGCCGTGAGTACAAATCTGTTGTCAATTGGCTGCCTCGTTTGGCCCACCAAAAATACACAGTCACAGTATCCACTTACTTTACAGTATATTCTGTGAAGCGCTTTGAGATGTCTCAACGATGTAATAAGGTGATCTATCAAATGCAAGGATTATCCTGACACATTCCTGTCCTGTTTCAGCTGTGAAGGGGAAAGGGAAGATGGGAGTTAAAGAGGTTCTAAAGGGTCCTGAAGTCTGTACTGATCCCTTCACGCTCACCACGCGTGCCGTGGGGGTCAACGTCTACAAACAAGGCACAGACCCCGAACTGAAGCCCAGGTCTGAGTACCCCGAATGGTCAGTACTGTTACTGCTTAATTAATCCTCGGCTTTTCTAATGTCTACCTGTATGACACTATCTGCAAACTGTTCTCATTGTAACTTACGAATGCCCCCACCCTCTGGAACTCCATCCCACAATCCCTCTGCCTCGTCTCCTCCCTTCACTCCTTCAAGACCCTCCTCTTCAACCGTACTTTTGATCACCCTCCTTCCACTCCCTGCCCTCCACCGTCTCTGATCCCGACCCCCAGCTCGAGTCCGAAACAATAATTGTCCAACGCCTTGGGATGTCCTCCCGGTATGAAAGACGCTATAAAAATTTTATTTTGTTGCTTTTGTTGTTATGGCACTAAGAATCCTTAAAGCAGTTGACTCTCGGTGACACGGTGCAGCTGACGAGCTTGAGATCCAGTAACTCAGCACAAACCGGGGATCAAACCTGGGACCTTCCCAGTCTGTTTGACTCAGGGCTGACGTTGTTCTCTGATACACTGCTCTGCGTGAGGGGCGTTATATAAATGCAAGTTGTTGTAATATTTCTGAGTCAGAAGAATGTGGGTTCAAGCCACACATCGGGACTTTGAGCTCAAAGTCTACACTGACCCTCAGTTGAGGAGAGCTGAATTGTCGGATGTGCCATCCCGCAGATGAGACATTAATCCGTGATCCTGTCTGTCTGATCAGATGTATGTTCAAGATCCCGTGAGTATTTGAAAAGAGAAGGGAGTTTCTTCCTGTTTCCTGGCAAACAATCCCTCAGATAAAAATGAGGTCATTCAACTTCCTGCTGTTTATGGGACTTTGCTACGTGTAAATTGGTTGCCTACAAAGTACACGGTTACTACACTTGACAATAAATGCTGTGAAGCTTTGAGAAGTTTCGACGAGGTGATAAGCTGCTTCATCAAACGCAAGGACTGTTACATTCACTGTGTTTCTCCATGGAATAATTGTCTTCTGTTGTTTTCTGCAGGTTGTTCACTCTGAATCTTGGCCCTCCGAAGAAATTAGAGGAATTGGATCCAGAATCTCGGGAATACTGGAATCTGCTGAGGAAACACCACATGTGGCAATTTAACAAACTTCACAAAGGGAAGAAACTCTAGGACAATGAACGGTGAATGTCACCCAGGGCTTGGGTTGGGCCAACAACCTCAGTGAGGTGTGAGCTGGCTTCTCTCGTAGGACAGACGATGTACAGACCAGTGCAGGAGGGAGACTCCTGAGCTCACAGCAGCGGCTGGGATACGGGAACAGGAGAGATGCTTTGTGGTTACTTATTCTGTAACGGCTGAATATTTAAAGAGAAAAATAAAAAGTGACCATTCTGAATCTAGTATGAATGAGTGCTCTGTATTAGGGCTTCAGATCTCTGCGGTCCTGTATTAGTGGTTAGAGCACTTGCCTCACAAGCGAGAGACCTGGGTTTGATTCCCGGCAGGGTGAAACCTTGGACAAGCTTCCTTACTCCATACGCCTGATAATAATCCCTCAAGAAAAAAAACAATGATAAATTGGTCATTTCAATCCACGACTGTTTGTGGGACACTGGCTGCCGCATTTCGCCCGCCCACAAATATACAGTCAATTCATTTTACAATATATTCTGTGAAGCGCTTTGAGACATCTCGAAGACATGAAAAGCGCTATATCAAATGTAACGATTATTATTATTATTAATGAACACATTGATGTTTTGCACTTCATGTTGTGAGGCACTGGGCAGTCCAGGGATTAGAGTCCAGGAATCATACTTTCATGGTCTTTGGAGTTTGAAATCAATAATTTTTCCTGCTCAGTTTTCTCTCCTCACCCTGGCATAATCCTTTCTGTTTCTACAGCGACAGTTTCATGCTTCCCCTCTGTCCCACCCCCGCCCCCAGCATTGCAGTCAAGTGGTCACCTCCCACCCAAGACTTGATGCTGAGTGTCAGCTACGTCTTCCAATGACAGTCTAGCACGTTTTATCAGCTGCGGGTTGCTGACCGTGATCCAGAGGAGGACGACTGGCTGACTTCTCCCCTCCTAACCCAGGGGTGCTCAGGCCAACTGTAGCCTCAAAGGTTGAGGTCAACAACTTGGTGCAGAGCAGGCGCTTGGGACCTTACTCTTCTGTAGCCTGTAGTCACTCTGCCCACCTCCCTCACTCAGCGGCCAACACTATCTCAGACCTCCTATGTGCTTTGTTAATGCAGCTTTTTGTTGGTGTGGCCAATTCCTGTGATGGTCGTTACCCCGGGGAGGGGAGGGAGATCACGTATTTATTTAAGTAGTGCCTACTTTCTGTGGTTGAGTTTGTTGTCATAGCAGTGAATCGCAGTGGGCGGAGGTGGTATGGGGGGTGGGGTTTGGCTTGGCAAACATGAGGCAAAGGGCAGGGCCGTGCGGAGAAGATATTTTAAGAATGTCGAGAGAACAGTCCTTTTGGAGAGAAGGTCAACATCGAACCTGGATGGGGACGATACCAATGATTGCCTCGCGCTCTCTCTCTCTCTCTCTCGGGGTCAATACAACACGTGGAGACCCTCGACCGGGTTAGTGACTGGGTGGGATCCAAAGATACGAAAGCTGCACTGAATGCGCCACACGAGCATTCGCGCTGAGGACTATTTATTCCAACAGCACAGAGGGACCATCGCGTTTCCCCAGACAGTGGCTGGACCTGACCTGAGAGTGTCTGACACTGACACTGGGTGAACAAATTGTTTTGAGTCTGAGGCGATAGCCAAAGCTTTCGTTATCCATATCAGGACTCTGGCTTTATTTCGGCCTCTTTTTCGGGCCGGTGCATTTACGTGCTTGTAGCCATGTCAACATTTCGTTGTTTCCAACCATCTTCTGTCCCCACGGATCTATTTAGCAGAAGCCAATCCATTGCAATCTTTCTTCACAGCCGTGGCTGCCTTCTTACTTTGTTCGAGACAGCTGCCTAAACTGCTGATCATCTTGAGCGGGTCCTTGTTTCTTTGTTAGCCAACAGTTTACATGAGCATAATCCTCCCAAACTGCCCGAGATTGAAGGCCAGTAGGAAAGAATTAAAATTATTTTCCCCGGATTTAAATAATCCCGTGATGTAGGGAGTTAACACATTTTATCATCGGAATTAAAACCTATGGCGTAATCTGGTCAGGGAGAATGGAGCAGTTAGAATCATAGAATATTACAGCACAGAAGGGCGTCCTGTAGCTCGGTGGTTGGAGCACTCGCTTTGCAAGTGAGAGACCTGAGTTCAATTCCAGGCAGAGGGCGAAACCTTGGGCAAGTTTCCTTACTCCACACAGAGCCTAATAATAATCCCTCCAAAACAAAACAATAATAAATTGGTCATTTTCAATCTACGACTGTTTGTGGGACATTGCTGTGCGCAATTGGCTGCCGCGTTCGCCCACAAATATACAGTCAATTCTCTTTACAGTGTGTTCTGTGAAGCGCTTTGGGACGTCCTCCCAACGTGAAAAGCGCTATATCAAATGCAAGGATTATTATTATTATTTCCTCCACTCCCTTTCTTGAGGAATCCCTTGAGCTCTCAATACCTCCCGTGATAACCAGCCAGCGATGCAGCTCCTAGCCCGTGTGCTGGTTTCGCTGTCGATCGGCGATTGATGTTTACGGCGTACGGATGCATCGTTCCAATTTACCACCTGCAGGTTCTGCCTGTTCTCTACGGAAGGGAGTGAACACCTTGAGCCTCAGTGGCTGAAGTTTGTGGAACCTAAATGGAAAAGGAGAAGTGAGTATTTTCATATCGGGTTGAGCGGGTGAGTTTCACATCCTGGGTTTGCTTGCGCTTCTGTATCTCTTCCCTTTTCTCATTCTGTGCTGAGCGAGCAGCGACGAGCTGCTGAGAGCCCTGGGCAGCGTGGTTGCTGACCAGCCAGTGACTGAGCCACTGGGATACTGCCACACCAAGGTCTGTGCATCTCTGAGGTAAACTTAATGCTCGACTTTTAACATTTTGGGACGTTGACAGCTGAGCACGTCAACAGGGAGCAGTCTGCAAAATGGAATCTGGCTTCAGACTCCAGTCCTCTCACATCGGGGTCAGAAGCTTCCCACGTCAAGACTGAGCTCCCAGTGCAGACTAACACTGTGCAGGTCAACACTGCAGCGTAGGGCTGGGAGGGGGAGCCCGATACTGCAAGGCTAGAAATGCTATTCTTGGGCTAAGTCGTTAAACTGATGGCCCGTCTGTTCAGGAGGATGTTTAACTATCCAGTGGTATTACTGGAACAACTACTTGTGATTATATAGCAACCCTCGCGCTGGATAGTGTCTCAGAGCAGTGGTGGGGTGGGACACTGAGCATGGGGGGAGTGGGAGGGGGAGATCAGCACAGGTGTGGTTGAAGAGATAGGCGTTAAGGTGGGATTTAAAGATAGAGCGGGTGAGATAGGGGGATTGAGACAGCAAGTTGCCGAGGTTAGGGGTGTGGCTGCAGGCATGGTCGGTCTCCGATAGTGGCGGTTGGGTTGGGGGAGACTGTGTTAGCTGAGGGAAGGGGGAAGAGGAGTACTAGCAGATCAGTGAGGCAGGGAGGGCATGAAGGGATTTGTTTGTGATGGTGAGGATCTTGAGATTGATTTTTTTTGAGATACGGAGCCTGGTGAGGGTTGGGGTGATGGACCTACTGTGTTTGGTACAGTTGAGAACGTAACAGGAGAATTCTGGATGAGTTTGACTTTGTGGAAAAGAGAAGTGAGTTTCTCTTGGCCAACAATCCTCAGGATCAATTGATTCAGTTTCCTGGCTGTTTGTGGGACAACTGCTATGCGAAAAATGGCTGCTGTGTTTCCTGACAAAATACACAACCACTACATTTGATAGTAATACTTTGGGAAGCATGTTTGACATTACAGTAAACCTCACATAAGTCGCCTCAGTTGGGACTGTACATTTAATGTGATTTATGCAAAGTATGAGTTATGTCATAGTTTTCTTACTCCACACGCCTGATAATAATCCCTCAAAAAAAAATTGGTCACTTCATTCCATGACTGTTTGTGGGACGCTGCTGTGCGCAATTGGCTGCCGCGTTTCGCCCACCAATATACAGTCAATTCAATTTACAGTAAATTCTGTGATGCGCTTTGAGACAGTGTCTAGAAGACGTGAAGAGCGTAATATCAAATGCGAGGATTATCATTATTTTATTTATTTGTTATGTCAAACTTGCAGAGAATGTAAACTCTTGAACAGGACTTGGATTGTGTATGATTTAGGCGGTTATGTGATTTACACAGATCAGATGTACGTGAGTTTTACTGCATTAAATCTGAATCAGGTGCAAGAATTATATTTTCAATCCCCGGATGGAATAACCGCCCGCATTTATGTTGCTTTAGTTCAATGCTTGGTTTGATTTTCTGACAAGGGCTTAGTTTGGCTGACGACGCGAGATACCTTTCAGGACTGATGCCCGAGGATGGGGGACTGGAATCTGCTGCTGCTGAGCGTGAGCGAGGAGGTGATGCAGAGACTCGGCAAAAAACTGGACAATCCCACCAATGGGTGGCGCAGGTTAGCCAGAATGGTGGGCATCGAGCAGCGATTCCAGTGCAGGTACACAGCACTTCACCCAGCTATTCGTTACTCAGATCTCGGAGCCCCTCCGCCTCGCCTTCTCCTTGGCCTCCTTCAAGGCCTGTCTCGAGAACTTTCCTTTTCGACTGTGCCTTCTCCAGCCCCCCCCGCCCCCACCCACCCCGCGCCCTCGCTTGTCCTCCACTCCTCTCTGATCCCAACCCACAACTCAGGTCCGAAACCCTCATTTTCCAGCCCTCAGGATGTCTTCCTGACGTGAAAGGCAATATATAAGTGCAATTTGCTGTTGTTGTTGATGTTGTCAGCCAGGCTCAGTTGGTCGCGCTCTCGCCTCTGAGTTAGAAGATTGTTGATGAAGTCCCCTTTCAGGATTATAAGGTCATAGTCTAGGCTGACATTCCAGTGCAGTGTTGGGGGAGCGCTGCACTGTTGGAGGTGCTGTCCCTTGTATGAGATGTTAAACTGAAGCCCGTCAGCATGTTCAGGGGATCATAGAATCGTACAGCACAAAAAGAGGCCATTTGGCCCATCAAGATGTGCCGACTCTTTGAATAGAGCAATTAATATCAATCCCACTCCCAGCCCTTTCCCCATAACCCGCAAACCAGTCCTCAAATACCCGTCCACCGCGTTTTTAAAAGTAGTTATCGAATCGGCCTCCACCGCCCTTTCAGGCAATGTGTTCCAGATTCGAACAACTCGCTGCGTGAAAAAAATTCTTCTCACCTCTCCTCTGCTTCTTTTAGAGACTATTTTGAATCTGTGACCTTGAGTCACTGACACACCCACCAGTGGAAACAGTTCTTCCCTTTCTAACCTATCAAATCCCCTCATGATTTTGAAGACATCTATTAGGTCCTCGTAACCTTCTCTGCTCCAATGAGAATAATCCTCAGCTCTCCAACCTTTCCTCATAATCACGGTCCCTCATTCCTGGTCCCATCCTCGTAAATCTCCTCTCTACCCTTTCCAATGCCTTAACATCCTTCCTATAGTGTGGGGCCCAGAACTGGGCGCAGTATCTAACTGAGGCCTAACCAGTGTTTTATATGGGTTAATCATAACCTCCTGACTCTTGTACTCTATGTCCTCTATTTATAAAGCCTAGTATCCCATATGCCCTTTTTACAGCCCTATCTACCTGTCCTGCCACCTTCAAGGATTCATTTACCTGCACCCCCAGGTCTCTCTGTTCCTTCACCCCCCCCACCTTAAGATTGTATTATCAGCCTATATTGCCCCTCATTCTTTCTACCAAAATGCAATATCTTGCATTTCTCCACATTGAAACTCATCTGCCACGTGTCGCCCATTTTACCATTCTGGCTGTGTCTTCCTGCAGTCGGCTCCTATCCTTCTCACTGTTTACGCCCCTACCCAACTTTGTGTCGTCCGCAAACTTGGAAATGGTGGTTGCTATACCCAAGTCCAGATCACTTATGTTTATTAAGAAGAGCAGTGGTCCTAATACCCTGAGCTGTCTTTTCTCCCTCATATCCGCGCCACAACTGGCACCGCCTTCCATCACCTCTGGAACATCGCCAGACTACGGCACTACCTCACCCCTCACGCGGCTGAAACTCTGGTCCACGCCTTTATCACCTCAAGGCTGGACTATGGGAACTCTCTCCTCGCCGGCCTTCCCGGCCCTCCCTCCACACTGCAGGTCAATCAGAACTCTGCAGCTCGTGTACTGTCCCACACCAGGCTTCGCGACCACATCACTCCCACCCTCGCCCTCGCTCGCCTCCACTGGCTCCCCATCCCCCAGAGGATCGAATTCAAGATCCTCATCCTCACCTACAAGGCCATTCACAGCCTCACTACCTCCTACCTGTCCGACCTACTACCCCCCTACTTATCCCCCTCCGTTCCTCTGACTCCAGTCTGTTCCACATCCCCAGCCCTAACCGCCCTTCCTCCCTTTCCTCCTTCAAGGCCGGTCTCAAGACCTTTCTCTTCGACCGAGCCTTCAGCTCCCCTCTCGACTCTCTACCCCCTCCTCGTTCCCTCCCTTCCCTCCCCTCACCCTGACCATTTCCCCCCTCCTCGTTCCCTCCCTTCCCTCCCCTCACCCTGACCATTTCCCCCCTCCTCGCTCCCTCCCTTCCCTCCCCTCACCCTGACCATTTCCCCCCTCCTCGCTCCCTCCCTTCCCTCCCCTCACCCTGACCATTTCCCCCCTCCTCGCTCCCTCCCTTCCCTCCCCTCACCCTGACCATTTCCCCCCTCCTCGCTCCCTCTCTTCCCTCCCCTCACCCTGACCATTTCCCCCTCCTCGCTCCCTCCCTTCCCTCCCCTCACCCTGACCATTTCCCCCCTCCTCGCTCCCTCCCTTCCCTCACCCTGACCATTTCCCCCCTGCTCGGGTCACGACCCAACTATACAGCGCCAACGTGAAAGGCGCTCTATAAATGAAATCTTGTTGTTGTTGTTGTTGTAATACCGATCCCTGGGGAACGCCACTGTACACTTCCCTCCAGTCAGAAAAGCAGCCGTTCACCATAACTCTCCGCTTTCTGTCTCCCAGTGAGTTCTGGATCCGCTGCCACTGTCCCTTTTATACCATTGGCTTCTATCTTTCTTACAAGTCTTTCATGTGGCACTTTGTCAAATGCCTTTTGAAAGTCCATATAAACTACATCTACTGCACTACCTTCATCCACCCTCTCCGTTACCTCATCGAAAAATTCTGTTAGATGCGTTAGACAAGATTTGCCTTTAACAAATCTGTGATGATTTTCCCTAATTAACCCATATTCTTCTAAGTGAAGATTTATTCTGTCCCGGATTATATTCTCCAGGAGTTTCCCCACTGCTGATGTTAGGCACTGGCCTGGAGTTCCAACGAAGATTGAAAAATTGTAGCCAAAGCCTCTGCTATTTGTACCCGTACCTCCCATAGTAACCTCGGCTGCATCCCGTCCGGACCGGGCGACTTATCACCTTCAGCCCAGTCAACCTTTTCAGTACTTCCTCTCTGTTTATACTTATCCTATCCATTTCCTCTGCCCTCTCCTCCGATACTGCGGCATTTGGTGCATCCACTTCTTTTGTGAAGACAGATGCAAAGTACTCATTCAGCACATCAGGCAATGCCTCCGCCTCCACAATAAGATTTCCCACTTGGTCCTTAATTGGCCCCACCCTACCTTTGACTAACCTTTCTTTCTTGATATGTTTGTAAAATATTTTAGAATTCCCTTTAATGTTACCCGCTAACTTTTTCTCGTATAATCTTTTTGCCCCTCATTTCCTTTTTCAGTTCTCTTCTGCACTTCCTATATTCTATTTGGTTGTCTTCTGTGTCTTGGGTTTGACATTTGTCATACGCCTTCTTTTTCTGCTTCATTCTAGATACAATTACCTTCGTCATCCACGGAGGTTTGAATGCCCTACTTTTCCCTTTTGTGGGAATGTATTTATTCTGTCCCTGAGCTATCTCATCCTTGGAGACTTCCCACTGCTCTTTAGTTGTTTTACCTGCCAATCTTTCTTTCCAGTCCACCTTGGCTCGGTCCCTTTTTAACTCACTGAAATTTGCCCTCTTCCAGTTGAGTATCTTCACCTTAGATGGTTCCTTGTCTCTTTCCATATGTACTCTGAATCTAATGATGTTGTGATCGATGCCCGATGCTCTCCCACTGAAACCTGCACCACTTGCCCGACTTCATTCCCCAGAACTAGATCCAGCACTGCTTCCTTCCTCGTTGGGCTGGAAATGTACTGATGAAGAAAGTTCAAGATCCCATGGCACTATTGAACCAGAGAAGGGAGTTTCTCTCTCCCCATGTCCTGGCTAGTTTTATCCCCCCAAATAAAACTAGTCGCTCACTTCATGGCTGTGTATAGGACGTTGCTATGCACAAATAGGCTGCCGCGTTTGTCTAAAAAATACACAGTCGCAGCACTTTACAGTAAATCCTGTGAAATACTTGATTTAATGATGTGTTAATGTTCTACATTAAATGCAAGGATTGTTGTCATTATTGTTGTTGCTCTGTGTTGCTCCGGGTGTCTCTAACTGTGAACACTGGGAGTATAACAGCCCCAGTCAGTATAGCAGCAGCCGTCCAGTCAGTGTGACCTCTTTTCCCGCAGTGAGAAGGAGATGGACCAGTGCTCGCTGAAAGTCCTGGAGCCGGTGGGGAGTCCAGGCCGGAGCTTTCTGCAGATCCTGGCAGATCGTGGCTGCACCGTCTGGTACCTGCTGAGCTGCCTGGACAGGATGGACCACAGAGAGGCTGTGGGCTGTCTGCTGCCCCTGGGTGGGTGCAGAGCGGGCAGAGATGAGGAGCTTCTCTGGTCTCCTCTTGAAGCTCGCTCCAACTCTCGCTTCTACATCCCTCTCACACACTCTCTCTCTCTCTCGCGCCTCCTCCCTCTCACACTCCTTCACACTCAAAGTGTCCATCACTTTTCCTCTCTTCGTCCACACTCTCCCCCCTCTCGTGCAATCCCTCTCCTTCCCTCTCACAAACCCTCTCATACTCTCTCTCCCTCCTCTCACACACTCTCTTTCTCTTCCTGATTTCCTCTCTCCACCTCTCCATTTCTTTCACATCTTCGCCTCTCCTATACTCTCCCATTCACCCTCTCCCTTTTTAATGTCAGTCTCGAGAAATTACCTCTTTGATGGCATTTTCGATCATCTTTCCCCTCCCCAACCCCTTCAGCTCCCAACCCCAGAACAAAATCAAGCCTGTCAAGCGCCTTGGGGTTGGGGGGCAGGTGGGGAGGTGGGGGAGGGTATCTGGTTAAACTCCACCTATATCTCAACTCAAACTTTTGCCTCTTACCAACCTGCGTCTAACACTCTCCAGGGTCCTTCCTTGGAAAAAGCACATGTGCCTTTCCAGCTACAGGGGTATTTCCATGCGTTGTCAAGCTTGGAGCCTGGGAAGCTTGGCAATGGATTTATATGTCAAGACACACGACAACAACAGCAACAACTTGCACTTATATAGCGCCCTCCACAGAGGACAGCGTCTCAGAGCGCTTAACAGTGGTGAAGCCTTAACACCCAGCTGTTTTATATAATCTTTCTTTCATCTCTCTTACACTTTCTCCAACTCTCTCTCTTGCTCCCACTTTCCATTTCTCTCACACTTTCTCTCACTCTCTCCATCAGTCTCACATTCTCTCCATCTCTTTTTCTCACCCTCTCTCTCACTGAATTCTCTCCCAGTGCCGGCTGCTGTGTGTATCACTGTCCAGCCTGAGTCTCGGGATGTTGTGGTTGGAGAGCGTGTGGTGCTGTACTGTGGGGCAGTGGGAGCCTCGGGGCTCAGCTACCAATGGTTCCAGGGATCGCGCGAGGTAAAGAGATCTACCTTTACTGTGTGTATGGGGTATGGGGTGTGTATGGGGGTGTGTGTGTATGGGGTGTGTATGAGGGTGTGTGTATATGGGGTGTGCGCATGTATGGGGTGGGTGTGTGTGGATTGGGTGTGCATGTGAGTGTGTGGAGTGTGTGTGCATGGCGTGTGTGACTATATTGGGTGTGATTGTGTGTGTGTATGGGGTGTGTATATATAGAATCTGTGTATGGCGTGTGTATATATTGGGGTGTGTGTGTGTGTACGACGTGAGCATGTATGAGTATGTGTGAGTGTGTATGGGGTGTGTATGAGTGCATGTGTGAATGTGTCTGAGAGTGTATAGGGTGTGTGTATGGAGTGTGTGTGTATGTGGTGTGTGTGTATGGGGTGTGTGTTTGTATGGTGTGTGAGTGTGTATGGAGTGTGTATGTGTGTGTGTGTCTGGGTGTTGTGTGTGTGTGGGGGGGGGTGACTAGCACATGGGGGTGAGTAACTGTGTGCTGTCTGTGCAGGTGGAGCGAGGGACAGGGTCGGAGCTGGTGATGGAGGCAGTGAGACCGGAGGACGGTGGTTGGTATATTTGCCGGGTGCACTGTGCCAGCGGCTTCACCTTTACCAGGTGGATCAAACTGCGTGTGGCCACAAGCCCTGTCTCAGGCAAGTAGTCAGCCCGGGGGGGGAGGGAGAGCGAGGCGAGCGGGGGCGGGCGGAGAGAGGGGGTTCAGGGGGCCGAGAGGAGGCGGGTGAGTGAGGGGGGAGGGGGAAGGGAGAGGGGGCATGGGAGGAGCGCGCGGGCAGGTGGGGGGAGGGGGGGGGCAGAGAGTGGGCAAGGGGAGACAGGAAGGGGGAGAGAGAGGGGGGGGTGGGGGCAGGGAGTGTGGGGCGAGTGCTGGGGAAAGGGGCAGGGAGGGAGAGGGGGGTTGGGGGGACGGGGAGAGGGGTGGGGAGAGAGGCGAGGAGGCGAGAGAGGTGAGTGGGAGGGAGAGAGGGGGAGGAGCAGGCGGGGGGAGAGTGGGGGTAGGGAGAGAAGGACGTGTTGGGTGGGTGGGGGGGGGAAGGGGGTGAAGGTGGGGGAGGTGCAGCCAAGAGCAGAGCTTCAGACAGCAGCAACTCGGGACTCTTCACGGCTGCAGTTCCTTCCTCATTATTATTTCCACCGCCCTGTGATCGCCTTCGCACACAGAGCCACCCGTCCTGCAAGGGGCAGGTGTGATAATGTCAGGCAGTTTCCATCACAGTTGGGGTTAACGTCTTGCGTAGTTGTGGGGGTGGGGGGAATAAATATAAAGCTCGTTTGCCACTCTGATTTTCCATTGAAACAGCCGTCACTACTGTGGTACGACTGGTGAGGGGACAAGTGGTAACGGCTGTTTCAATGGAAAATCAGAGATGCAAACGAGCTTTATATTTATTCCCCCCACCTCAAGAATAGCCCTCCCCGCAGGAGGCTATTTGTAGGTTCTAATCCCCAAATTTTGGGACTTAGTAGTAATAATAATAATGATAATGTTGATACAGCGCCTGATCACGTCTTCGAGACGTCTCAAAGCGCTTCATGGGATCCGCTGTAAAGTGAATCAACTGTGCGTTTTGTGAGCCAATTGCGCACATCAGCGTCTCGCAAACAGCCGTGGGTTGAAGTGGCCAAATTATTATTATTATTATAATTTTTTTACAAATTATTTATTTATTTAGTTATTTTGAAGAGATTGTTACCCACGGAAAAGCGATTTGCCAATCGACTAACGACCGTGTTCCTACTTACCGCTGGGCAAACAGAGGCGTGTGTGTGGAGTCAGGAAACCTGGCCGACTTTTCGCCCTGCCCTGGAATCAAACCCGGGTCCTCTCGCTTGCGAGGCGAGTGCTCTAACGACCGAGCTACAGGTCTCCACAACCTCTAGTTTAGCTTTAGTTTAATTTAACCCTAATTCAGGATTTTGACCTCTAACACCTCTAACGTGTTGTCTTCTCCCCCCACCCCCCAACAGCCGGCTCGCTTGGCTCAGGCTACGTTTGCAGCCTACGGATCCTGGTGCACCCCAACTCCCTGAGACTGCAGGAAGGTCAGCACATGAGCCTCCAGTGCTCAGCTACGGGGACACCCCCTCCTCAGTACCAGTGGTTCAGGAACAATCAATCCATCCCTGACGCCACAGAAAGCTCTCTCAAGGTCTGCGCTCTCCTGTCGTTCCGCTAAATTTACCTTTGAGACGTTTTCACGTGTAAAAAAAACCAAACACACAAACAAACAACAACAGGACCTCGATAAACGTGCAGATTATTGTTCCCCATTTGTGCGCAGGTAACAGGCGTCACCACGGCCGATCGCGGGGTCTACTGCTGCCGTGTCTACAACCTCTACCAGCAGGTCCTGAGCAGAGAGGCTCATGTGGAGATCGGTAAGGTTTCACCAGGTTTAACAATAATAATAATCCTTGCATTTGATACAGCGACTTATCACATCTTTGATACGTCTCAAAGCTTCACAGAATATACTGTAAAGTGAGTTGACTATGTATTTTGTGGGAGAAACACGGCAGCCAATTGCGCACAGCAGCGTCCCCACAAACAGCCATAGATTGAGTGACCAATTTTTTGATTTATTTGGATTGAATGGATTATTAACCCCAGAAAGCCATCCACCAATTGACTAACAACCGGCTTCCCACTTGCTGATAGGTAAATAGAGGCGTGTGGAGTAAGGAATTTGCCTAAGAAACAAATCCAGGTCCTCTCGCTTGCGAGGCGAGTGCTCTGACCACTGAGCTACAGGACTCCACACGTGTACGCTACAGGCTTCCTGGCTGGTGGGGTTTATAGTGAAAACTGAACTTGTGGTTATAGCTGCCCCAATGAGAGAATCAGATACAAAGTGCCGGGTTCCAATCCGGGCTGTTGTGGGGTGGCGAGGTGACAGGGCTGGGGCGGTGGATTCAGGAAACTTGGCTAACTTTCAGCTCACGCAGCTCAGGCTGACAGTCCAGTGCACTGCTGGCGCATGTGCTGTTGTTAGAGGTGCCGTCCTTCAGATGAGACATTACACCGAGGTCCACAGCAGAAATGGTGTATCCTGTGACACTACTTGCGTCCTTTTTTCTCCTATCAATCACAAGTGTAAACTCATCAGAACGCTAGACTGAGAATTCCACACATACCATCTGCACGTAGAAATTCCCATGTCTGGAATGGAAGGCTCTCTCTGGAGGGATGCATCTTGTTTACCTAATTCTGGAGAGTATTAGAGCCAAGGCTGGGGGGGGGGGGGGAAAGCCCAGAGTGTGTTTTGGGGTAACTACTGGAGTCTAACCAGCTAAAATCTGATGGCGCTGTGTACCTGTGTGTCCTGGCTGATCAATGGCCCAGATAAATATTGATTATTCACGTTTGGGGGTCAATGCTGGGCACACATTGGCCTCCACGTTTGCCTACAAGAACACAGTCACCATACGTGACAGAAATCCCTGTCAAGAGACATGTTGACGTTATGTATAATGTAAAAACATTGAGAATTCTCATTATTATGAACTGTGCTCAGTGATTTTCCCCGTACAGGAAATCTCAGTAATGTTTTTGCAATATTTTAGGTTTGGCCATGTGGTGAAGGGTTGCCGAGGGATTAAGCTTCTGACATTTACTGACTATGCTTGTGCTTCATACAGGACCCAACAGCTCCTTCAATGAGACGTTCCTGGGCGAATCGGAGAGAGGTAATAAGAATAATCCTTACAACAACAACAACATGCAGTAATTAGTGCTCTTCATGCAGTCTTTCCAACGTGACAGGCGCTATACAGGTGTATTTTGTCGTTGTTGTTGTGTAGTGTCTCAGAGTGCTTAACAGTGACACAGATTAAGAGAGGAGAGGTGACGGATGGCACGGTCAAAGAGGAAGATCTTCAGGTGTGATCTGAAGGAGTGGGCAAAATGAAAAGATTGAGGAAGAGAGTTACAGAGAATTGAGGTGTTGTGGCTGAGATCACGGCCACTGATGGTGGAACAGAGGGGACGAGGGACTCGCAGGAGGCCAGACCAGCTGAGCAGAGGGGGCGGGTAGAGGATTGAGGTACAAGCAGGTCGGAGATGTAGGGAGGTGCCTGGGCGAGAAGCAATTTATACGTGAGTGTGAGAATCTTGAAATCGATCCATTCTGCAATAGGGAGTCAGTGGAGGCTGGCAAGGACCGGAGTGATGGAGGTGCAGAGTTTAGTCCAGGTGAGGATATGGGTGGCGGAATATTGAATTAATTAGATTTTATGAAAAGTGAAGCTGAGGAGACTAGCGAGGAGGGTATTGGAATAATTGAGGCGGGATACATCATACCTAATATATAACGTAGTGTAGGAGGAAGGGAAGAGCAAGGAAGGTGAGGAGTGTTGTAGAGTGTAGGAGAGAGGGAAGAGTGAGGGAGGTGAGGAGTGCTGTAGAGTGTAGGAGGGAGGGAAGAGTGAGGGAGGTTAGGAGTGCTGTAGAGTGCAGGAGGAAGGGAAGAGCGAGAGAGGTGAGGAGTGTTGTAGAGTGTAGGAGGAAGGGAAGCGTGAGGGAGGTGAAGAAGGTTGTAGTCTTTCATGTTGGGAGGATGTCCCAAAGCGCTTCACTGAATTTGCTGTAAAATGCAGTGACTATGTTTTAGGGGTGAACGTTCTTGATCATCTCTCAGCCTCAGTGACTATGTTTCTGGTCTGGGGCTACTCAGGGTGTAGGCAACGAGGTTGGAGGGCCTGAAATTCCATCTAGACTGAGCCTGAGAGACATTTTGGCTCTGAATATGACTGAGCAGAAATGAGGCCAATTTCTCAATTTAGCATTGATTTGGAAGCTTATTTCGTCCTAAGAACCGTGGAAAATTGGCTCCCAAATTCAGATTAAATTGAAGAATTTTTCACAAACAACAACAACAGCAAAATTACATTTATAGAGCGCCTTTCACGTCGGGAGGATGTCCCAAGGCGCTGAAATCTGCATCATCTTACATTTTAAGACAAAATGGCTGAGATCAGGTGGAAGTTTGGGCCTCTGCTTTTTATGAAGTGAGTGGACCTGACTTCACCTCTTGTGTATATATGGCGTAGGCTCCAGAGATGGACTCGCAGTTCTGTGTTCGTGTTAATTCCAGTTTCTCTCTCACTTTGTTCCAATCAGGACTCCCGGCACTGCCTGGCCCCCTGAACACCAACACCCAGCCCCGTTTGCTTGGTGAGTCTTAATCACTGCTGGTCAGGGAGTGAGAAAAGGCTTGTGGTCTGATGATGGCTGATGCCTCAGCCATCAGTTTCTCACTCTCTCCATCACAATCTTTCTCATCTCAATTTATTTCATCCATGTTGCTGACTTCTGAACGTTCCTCTCTCTCCTCCAGAGCTCCAAATCCCTCCTCCTACACCCTCTCTGTCCTCACTCTGTTAAAATCCAGCTTCCTTGCCCCATCTCCTCCTCTGATTCATTCTTTCCCAGGACCTCAACTATGGAACTCCTCACCTCCCTCACTCTTCCCTCCCTCCGACATTCACCCCTTCCCCCCCACCACACCCCACTCCCTGAGTGTCTGAGTAAGAAATTGACTGGCAACCTCCTGCTGATTGCACCCCTTGGTTTCTCTCCCCAGCGACAGACAAGGTGGCTCTGCTGATGGGGAACATGAACTATCAGCACCACAAGCAGCTGCGAGCCCCCATGGTGGACGTGCACGAACTGACCAACCTCCTGAGGCAGCTGGACTTCAAGGTTGTGTCACTGCTGGACCTGAGCAGGCGGGAGATGCAGAAAGCGGTCAACGAGTTCCTGCTGCTGCTCGACAAGGGAGTCTATGGTACCTGCACAGCTCCTCCCTGTGCCCCCACATAGAACCATAGACATTTACGGCACAGAAGGAGGCCATTCAGCCCATCGTGTCTGTGGCACTCCCGGAAGAGCAATCCTTTCAGTCCCATTTACCCCCACACTCCTGTAGCCGACTCTTTTTAAGTATCAATCCAGTTCCTTTTGAAAGGTCAACCAGTGTTCCCAACAAGTGGTTCCTATTAAGACCTAACGCAAATCATACCCTCAGGCACTGTTTGAGTGCAGAGGGAGCGTTACTCTGGCTCTAACTTGAGTGCTGGACGGACAGTATGGATAGAGCTTTATTCTGTCTCTAACCTATGCTGTTGCTAACAGTGTCTCTAATCCTGACCTGGGAGTGTGGACGGACAGTGTAGAGGAGCTTTGCTGTGTCTCGAACCCTGACCTGGGAGTGTGGACGCACAGTGTAGAGGGAGCTTCACTGTGTCTCGAACCCTGACCTGGGAGTGTGGACGCACAGTGTAGAGTGAGCTTCACTCTGTCTCTTGCCTCGCTATGGCTGGGCAGCGCTCACTGATTGTCTGCTCTTCGCCGCAGGTTTGCTTTACTACGCGGGTCATGGATACGAAAACTACGGCAACAGCTTCATGGTGCCCATTGATGCTCCCGACTCGTACACATCGGAGCACTGCCTGTGTGTGCAGGGAATCCTGCAGCGCATGCAGGACAAGCAGACCCGCCTCAACGTCTTCCTGCTCGACATGTGCCGCAAGAGGTGAGCTGCCTGGCCCACTGCCTGGGTCCCAGACACAGGTCTCCCTCACATGCTCAGGTTCTCTGAGGGGCAGCATCTCCCACAGTGAAGCACACTCCTAGATCATGGAATCATAGAATTCTACAGCACAGAAGGAGGCCATTCGGCCCATCGACTCTGAGCACCGGCTCTTCGAAAAGAGCTAGAAAATGGGGTCAAAGTCCCAACGTGAGGCTTGAACCCACACTGTTCTGACTCGGAGGCGAGAGTTGCCCACTGAGCCAGGCAGTAACATATGGGTCTGTCTGTTCTATAATTAATAGATAAAGAGCGCCGAGAAATCAGTCAGAATTTATACTCCTGTCTGATATTCCTCCGCACCCCCCCACCGACCTCCAACCACTGCTGGAAGGGATAGGTGTGGGTGTCAGGCAGGAAGAATGGCTGTTTCGATGAGAGTAGTGGAGTTCGCCTGACCTCCAGCATGAATCACTTGTGGGGGGGGGAGGTGGGGAGAAGTGGAGAAGTCGAGCAGCAGCTGCTGGCTCTGTGATTCTCGATACTTTCTCTACCCAGGAACCTACATGATGGAATCATTCCGCGACTGGAAGCCTTTCGAGTCACCGCCAACATCGTTTTTGGTTATGCCACGTAAGCTGTCTCTCTCTCTCTCTCTCTCTCTCTCTCGCGCGCTCTCCGTTTGCATGGACCTCCTGATGCTCAGGGGCAATTCTCTGTGTGAGAATAATAATCCTTGCATTTGATATAGGCCTTGTCACGTCTCAGAGCACTATATTTTGTGGGCGAAACAGCAGACAATTGCACCCAGCAATGTCCTACAAACAGTCAGTGGATGTAGTGACCAAAGTCGGGAATTAATATTAATTATAATAATAATAATCCTTGCATTTGATACAGTGCCTAAACACGTCTTCTATTTGAGGCTAACCAGAGTTGTGTGGCTTGTTTTTGAAGCTGCCTGGATGCCGAGGCGTATGAAATCAGTCACGGGAATCGGTCCAACGGGATCTTCATCAGCTTTTTGAAGAAACGTTTGTTGGAGGATGAAAAAATCACTGTCCTGCTGGATAAAGTGGCTGAAGGCAGGTTATAATCACGATGATAATAATATTAATAATATTACTTGCATTTCATACAGCGCCTTATCAAATCTCAAAGCGCTTCACAGTATATGATGACCCATTCCATAGCAATCAGGCTTCAGAGATGAAAGGCGTTCTCTGATGATCCTGATGTGTTTTGAGATGAACGTGAAATGTTATCTGGAGGTGATGTGGATCCAGATTATTTGGGACTGGATAACAATAATCTTTGCATTTGATATAGCGCTTTGCACGTCTTCTCGACATCTCAAAGCGCTTCACAGAATAGACTGTAAAGTGAATTGGCTATATATTTGTGGACGAAACTCGGCAGCCAATTGCTGAGGATTCTCTGCGGTAAAACCTCTGTAACCACCAGGTGGTGTGTTCTACTAATCAGTACAAGATAAAACAGCTCAGCACGGTCCACATTATGGGCATTATGTGGAGTCCTGTAGCTCAGTGGTTAGAGCACTCGCCTTGCAAGCGAGACACCTGGATTCACTTCCAGGCAGAGTGAAACCTTGGGCAAGTCTCCTTACTCCACACACCTAATAATAATCCCTCCAAAACAAACCAATAATAAAATTGGTCATTTTCAATCCACGACTGTTTGTGGGACATTTCTGTGCGCAATTGGCTGCCGAATCAAGCTCCGCATCAGGACTTGAACTCCTGTTGGACGAGATGTTAAACTGAGAAATGTCAGCACATTCAGGTTGAGGTTAAAGATCCCGTGGCACTATTCGAATGGAGGACACGGCCTGTGATTAAAAGGGGGTAAATTCCAAACAAATCCTCTGAAACACTGTTTTCTCCAGCGAGTAGTAAACATACTGAACAGGTTCTCCAGGGAAACAGTGGAAGCAGAAAGTGTTGACTCTTTCAAAAGCAAATTGGATAGATTTATTTTAGGATTCGGGACACAGTATATAGTTTGGGGCATGACATGTACAAGCGACTGCCAGGATCCTGGTGGAAGGTGAACTGGATGGACCTTGGTCTTTTTTCACCAGCAAATTTTTGTGTTCTTATTACTGCTGAGGATTCTCTGCGGTAAAACTTCTTAACCACCAGGTGATGGCTTCTGCCACACATTAACTGCGCCTGAAATTGGCGCCTCCTGCTGTTCACATGTGAAATTACACATTACTACCTGTCTTCAGGTAATAAGGAAAGGAGGATTTCGAGAGGCACTGATTATGTTCAAAAGCATTTCACTAGTAATTACTGTTAAGTGTAGGGACTTTTTCTTTGCAGGCAATAAGCAAACATTGTAAAAACACTCAACAAGATAGGTACTTGAAGAGGAATGCAAGGATATTGGGAAAAAATAGGGGAGTGGGACTGATTGGGTAGCTTTTCCAAAGAGCTGGCACGGGCACGATGGGCTGAATGGCCTCCTTCTGTGTTGTAATATTCTATGATTCTATGACTGGGTGGATTCATCAGGACTCCGGAAGCTGTGAAGTAGGTGAAGATTGTGTATAAATGGCAGATTAATGAAAGCGAGCAACAGACTGGGTGTTTAATCCACCTTCCTGATGTTGTTTCAGACATGGGCACCTACGAGCTGACCAAGGGGAAACAGGCCCTGGAGATCAGGAGCAGCCTATCAGAGAGGCGGGCACTGACTGACCACATCCAACAGTTCAACAGCTGTGATAAAAGCTCGGCCAGGAACTTACAATGGGCTAAAGCTCACGGTGAGTCTGCGTGTGTATGCGTCTGTGTGTGCCCGTGTGTGTACGTCCGTGTCAATTGGTATGAGTGTGCATGTCTTTGAGTGTGCGTGTGTGAATCCACATGTTAAATCCATCCTAGGTGACAGCTTGGCTCAGTCCGTAGCTCACTCACTCCTAAATCACAAGGTTGTGGGTTTAAGCCTCAAATTGTGACTATGAACACATAGTCAAGCCTTCTGCTTCAGTGTAGTGCGGGGGGTTGGGCTACACTGTTGGAAGTGCCATCCTTAAATTAGTTAAGTTTATGAAAGGGCTCGATACGCTGGACATTGATAGGCTGTTTCCAATTGTTGGTGATTCCAAAACGAGAGGGTATAATAATAATATAATATAAATATAAACACCGGTAACAGAGTTTAGGAGGAACTGCATCACAAGAAGGACAGTGAGAATGTGGAACTCACTGCCCGAATCTGTGGTGGAAAAGCATCAATGTATTTAAGAGAAAAACCTGATGCCTACTTGTCCCATGACTCCCCTAAGGCTGGCCCCACCCCTGAGACTGGCTCTGCCCCCAAGACCAGCCCCTCCCCTGAGACTGGCCCCTCCCCTAGTCTGGCCCCGCCTCTGAGACCAGTCCCTTTCCTGAGCCCGGCCCCTCCCCCGCGTCTGAGTGCTCCCCTGATTCTGGCCTCTCCCTCCAAGACCACCTCACACCCTCCAACAAGACTACCCACTCCACCCCCTCCCATTTGTGGCACCTCCTTAAGACTATCTCCTCCTCTGAGATGGCCCCTCCCCGAGACCGGCCCCTCCCCCGAGACCGGCCCCTCCCCCGAGACCGGCCCCTCCCCCGAGACCGGCCCCTCCCCCGAGACCGGCCCCTCCCCTGAGACAGGACCCTCCCCCGAGACAGGACCCTCCCCTGAGACTGGCCCCTCCCCCCAAGACCGGCCCCTCCCCCAAGACTATCCCCACCTGTGAGACCGGCCCCTCCCCTGAGACAGGAGCCTCCCCTGAGACCGGCCCCTGCCCTGAGAACCCCCCATGAGATAGCCGCCCCCAGTGACCAGCTGTTCCCTTGTCCCCAGAGCTCCCTGAGAGCAGGTTTGTGACGTTCGACTGTGGGGTCAGCGTGAGGCTGGGATTTGCGGCCGAGTTCTCCAACATTATGATGATTTACACCCAGATCGTGCAGATTCCAGACGGCATCTTACACTGTGAAGCCACACTCACGGACTTCTCTGAGGTACAAACAACATCTCTCTTCATTTAGTTTGGGCTGTGATGGGAGATTCAAACACATATCCAATCATTGAAACATAGAAACCAGAGGAGGCCATTCAGACCTTAGAGTCTGTTCTATAAGATCATGGCTGATCTGTACCTCAACTCCAATTACCCGCCCTTGCCCCATATCCCTTAATCCTCTGACCTAACAAATATTAGGTCTTCCCTCCCTCAAACTGACTCGACAGTATCTCTCTTACCTCTGAGACAGAAGGTTGTGGATTCAAGTCCCACGCTGGGACTCGCAGTCTAGGCTGACGCTCCAGGCAGTGCTGGGGGAATGCTGCATTGTCAGAGGTTCCATCTTTCAGGTAAGACCTTAAGCCGAGGTCCTGTCTGCCTGGTTAGGTGGACCGTGAAAATCCTACTCTGCTATTCAAAAAGAGAAAAGAGATTCTCTCTCCTGGTGCCTTGGCCAACAATCCCCCAAATAAAATTGATCATTTTCTTCATGGTGTTTGTGAGACATTGCTGTGTGCAGATCGGTTGCAGGGTTTGCTCACAACATACCCAGTCACTCACTTTGCAGTATATCCTGTGAAGCGCGTTGAGATATCCTCCTGACACGAAGAGTACAAGATCGAATGTAAGGATCATTAATATTCTCCCTTGTCAGTTATTATAACAACAACTTGACACTTATAAATCGCCCTCCACACAGGGTAGCATCTCAGAGCGCTTAACAGTGGTGTCGCCTGACTCCGAGCTGGGGGAGGGTGAAGGTGGCCGTAATCACGGTCGAACAGGAAAGAGGACTTGAAAGAGGGGAGAGTGGAGGCAAGGCGGAGCGATTAAGGGGAAAGTGTTCAAGAGTTTTGGGAGGTAGTGGCCGAAAGCGCGACCTCCGATGGTAGGATGGAGGAGGGTGCGAGGGATGAGCAGGAGGCTGGTGCCAATTGAGTGGGGGATCTGGGTAGTGGATTGGGGAGTGAGGAGGTTGGAGAGGTTGGGAGATACCAGGGATTGAAGGGATTTCAACACAAGAGTGAGGATCTAAAGTCGACCCATTCAGTGAAGGGGAGCCAGTGGAGTCTGGCCACTATTAGTTAGTTAGTTAGTTAGTTAGTTAGTTAGTTAGTTAGTTAGTTAGTTAGTTAGTTAGTTAGTTAGTTAGTTAGTTAGTTAGTTAGTTAGTTAGTTAGTTAGTTAGTTAGTTAGTTAGTTAGTTAGTTAGTTAGTATGTGTATGTGTGTGTGTGTTATGGAAGAAAGCTGCTGATTGTTGAGTTGAATCTTACAGGCCAGGGAGAGCCCAGGAACCAATTCGTAGTTTCATACAATCAGAGAAGTTTACGTGCAGAAGGAGGCCATTCGGCCCATAGAGACACTGTCTGCCTACATTCACTGCCCAAGCTTACACGTCAGGAGAGAGAGAGAGAGGGACACGGATGACTGAGGGAGCTGGGGATGGGGAGTGGAGCTGGTAGTGTCTGGGGTATGGAAGCCCAGCGAAACCACTGTATCCAGGAGAGGAGTTAGACGTTAAAATAAACCGGAGACTCTGAAGTACACCTTACATGATCCCGGTTCACTAAACCTCTCAAGGTTTGTGTTTCCCTGTGACTGGCAGGATCTGGATGTTGACATCAAGCAGACGAATAAAGACTGCCCCGAGGAGACAGGCAGCGTTCTCTTCACCTTCAGAAACTTTGACTGTGCCGATCGGTGTCTGTACACAAGGCTCAGCAAGCTCCAGAAACTGCGGGTAAGTCTCTGACCTGTGTATAGGGTGGGACAGTCAGTGACTGTGCCTTATTCGATCATGCCTTCGGCTACCGTCCTACCCTGCACCCTACCTTACCCCAAGCCCACCCACCCCCATCTCCCCCCCCCCCACTGCTTGGGACTAAATCCCTGGCTGTCCAGCACCTTGAGACATCCTCCTGACGTGAAAGGCGCTGTGTAAATGTCATTTGGTATTTGTATTGTATTGTATTGACTGGTATCATAAGCTCAGACCTTCCCAGTATCTGATGTGCTTCCCCGCCTCTTGTCTGTGTGCAGAAGGAGTTGAGGTTCTGTGTTTGCCTCCAGTACTGTTACCAAGGTCTGCTCGAGAGTGTGGTGGAGAAGCAGATGGTGGACGTCGGGAAGCCGCTCGTGGCTAAGCTGAACCTCCACGACTCCCACGCCTTGAACGACTATTTCTACCTTCATGGGCCCCTCCGCAATTCCTCCAGCGACCCCTCGCAGAGGTTCAGTCAGGGCAGCAGACCCTTACCCCCAACTTCACTGCGGACAGCCAACAGCCTGACCGACCTTGCACTCTCTGCCGATTTGCACAGCGTTCAGTCTACCGACTTCTACCGGACCGCAATGCAGTTCAGGGGCGGCTACGTGCCTGATGTGAGGCCACGGGGAGGCGGGGAAAGGGGGGCGCTGACCAGTGCTGGGGTCACTCTGGCCAATATGTCAGCAGCCCGGCCAGCCTCCGAGCCACGCTATGCAACTCTGCCAAACCTCACACAAATCTCCAAAAGAAAAATTTTTCCACGTACTGATTCCTGGGGCTGGTGGGACCCGAGCTCGCTGTAACTCAGAGACTTTGTGATGTGTTTGAGCACAGGTGTGTATCTGCAGCTCTTCATTTCTGTCCCTGGTAAAGCCTATGTTCCTATAAGTACCTCTAATTCTCTCTATCACCACCGTTCTGCTCTATCTCCATTTCATCATTACTACTTTGGTCATTTTTCCTCTGAATGTTCCTCTCTTGTCTATCCCAAACTCCAAATTCCCATCCCACGCCCACTTGCTTTCCTACGTCCTCACTGTGATGAATCTCATTGCACTGTCTTCTCCTCTATCTCATTGCTCCCGGAACCTCAGAACTATGGAAATTCTTCTTTCCTTCAGTCTTCCTCCTCCCTACACTCTACAGGACTCCTCACCTGCACTACAGCCTTCATACTTTAGGGTTTCTCCATTAATTGTGAGAGAGGGAGGGTAGGATGGTGGGAGGGAGGGGGATGCTCAGTGGGTTGTTCTGTTGCTTGAAGATATGACATTTTATTCCTGGAGGTGAGTCAGCCCCAGAGCCCAAAGTACACTGCAGACACTTGACCACCATCTCACCCCCAAATCAAGTGTGAGCCGAGTTGACACATAGTTGTAATCGCACTCTCCAATGTAATAGAATAAAAAGTGTATTATCATAGAATCATAGAATCGTACAGCAGAAAAAGATGCCATTCGGCCCATTGAGTCTGTGCGGCTCTTTGAATAGAGCAATGTAATATCAATCCCACTCCCAGCCCTTTCCCCATAACCCGCAAACCCGTCCTCAAATACCCGTCCACCGCGTTTTTAAAAGCAGTTATCGAATCGGCCTCCACCGCCCTTTCAGGCAAAGCGTTCCAGATTCGAACAACTCGCTGCGTGAAAAAATTCTTCTCACCTCCTCTCTGCTTCTTTTAGAGACTATTTTGAATCTGTGACCTCGAGTCACTGACACACCCACCAGTGGAAACAGTTTTTCCCTCTCTAACCTAACAAATCCCTTCACGATTTTGAAGACCTCTATTAGGTCCTCGTAATCTTCTCTGCTCCAATGAGAATAATCCTCACGTCTCCAGCCTTTCCTCATAATCACAGTCCCTCATTCCTGGTATCATCCTCGTAAATCTCCTCTGCGCCCTTTCCAATGCCTTAACATCCTTCCTATAGTGCGGTGCCCAGAACTGGGCGCAGTATTCTAACTGAGGCCTAACCAGTGTTTTATATGGGTTAATCATAACCTCCTGACTCTTGTACTCTATGCCCCTATTTATGAAGCCCATATGCCCTTTTTACAGCTTTACCTACCTGTCCTGCCACCCCCAAAGATTCATTTACCTGCACCCCCAGGTCTCTCTGTTCTTTTACCCCCCTTAAGATTGTATTATCAGCCTATATTGCTCCCCTCATTCTTTCTACCAAAATGCATTACCCGCATTTCTCCACATTGAAACTCATCCGCCATGTGTCGCCCATTTTACCATTCTGTCTATGTCTTCCTGCAGTTGGCTCCTATCCTTCTCACTGTTTACTCCCCTACCCAACTTTGTATCGTCCGCAAACTTGGAAATGGTACTTGCTGTACCCAAGTCCAGATCATTTACGTATATTAAGAAGAGCAGTGGTTCTAGGATTCTCCAGGAATTTCCCCACTACTGATGTTAGGCACTGGCCTGTAGTTCCCAGGTTTGTCCTTCTGTCTCTTTTTGTACAGAGGAGTCACATTGGCCCCTCTCCAGTCCTCGGGCACCACTCCTGTGTCCAACGAAGATTGAAAAATTGTAGCCAAAGCCTCTGCTATTTGTACCTGTGCCTCCCATAGTAACCTCGGCTGCATCCCGTCTGGACCGGGCGACTTATCACCTTCAGCCCAGTCAACCTTTTCAGTACTTCCTCTCTGTTTATACTTATCCTATCCATTTCCTCTGCCCTCTCCTCCGATACTGCAGCATTTGGTGCATCCACTTCTTTTGTGAAGAAAGTACTCATTCAGCACATCAGCCATTGCCCTCTGCCTCCACAATAAGATTTCCCCCTTGGTCCTTAATTGTCCCCACCCTACCTGTGACTGACCTTTTTTTCTTGATATGTTTGTAAAATATTTAGAATTCCCTTTAATGTTATCTTTTTTAGGTTAATGCTAACCTTTTTTTGTATAATCGATGTCTCTGAGAGCAGGGTTTGGTTGTTGAGATCGTTTACTTTATTCGATTGTAAGCCATTATTTTGGTTGCGTCTGGAGTTCAAAGCTCATCCTGATTGGCTCCAGTTCCACACATAGTTCCTTTGAGCTCCTCAGCTCCAATGATACAGATACTCAACGCAATACTCCACAATAAAATACAATTTACATTTACACAGCGTGCTTCATGCAGGACAGCATCACTAATGGAATTTCCCTTCTGTAATCGCACACGCTGAATGCAATTTTGACCCCAATTTATATTTATGCAGAGACTTTCACGTTGGGAGGATGACTCAAAACGCTTCAGTGCTGGGCGCCTGAGCTGGTGGGGGGAAGCGAGGGAAAAGATGACTGAAAACGCGGTCAATGACATAGGTTTGAGATGTGCCTTGAAAGAGGAGAGGGAGAGAACAGGGGAAGGAACTAGGCTGGGAGCAGACCTTATTTTCTGGGATTCTCAAAGCATCTAAAGCCACAAAGTTCCTTTCCAATTCTGTGCTGAACAGGTAGGAGAAGCTCAGGGGAAGTCAGTGAGTGTCAATGGCCCGTTCGACTTCAGACTGTCCAGGATACAGTCAAGCCCGATCTTGTCCTCAGCTGACGTTCACACATACGGGAGCAGGAAGTACTGGGTTTGGATCAGAGCTGATTACACGTCTCACCCACAAAACTACACTGTCAATCCACTTTACAATATATTCTGTGAAGCGCGTTCAGAGGCCTTAATGACTTGGCAACAGCAACAACGCTTGCACTTATAGAGCAACCTGCATGCAGGGTAGCGTCTCAGAACACTTAAAAGCCGCTGTGTCAAATGCAAGGATTATATTATTATGATTATCACCTCCTTATCCCAGGGGGACAGAGATTGATTGCCCCCGAACTGGCTGTGCTTGTCTGAGACCAGCTGAGTCAGTACAGAACAGGGATTGAACCTGTGATGTGTGTGACTGTTAGTCCTGGAATCTGACAACAGAACAAAATACTGAGTCGTCAAAGGCAACGAGTGGTGGAAGAACCAGGAAAACTCAGGTAAAAGCTTAAGTTCCCAACATGTGAAGATATGGCACCAAAATGAATTCTCTTTATAGTTCTCATTCCTGACTGGAATCCTTGGAACCACATGCTCAACTGGCGCCAAGCACTGATGTCAATAACTGGCTTGGCTAACAGAGGCTACTGCTCGTCCTCTCTCCCTCCACCCCATCATCCGTGGCCGCACCTTCAGCCTCGCTTCTAGAACTTGCTGCCTCGATCCCTCCGTTTCACTTCCCTCTTCATTCTTTATCACAGAGCAGATCGATTTCAAGGTCCTCACACTCAAATCCCTACAAACCCTTCCACTCCGTGGTACCTCCCAACCTTCTGACCTGCTTTCTTCACACTCGGCAGGCTTTGGCTTCCTGCTTGTCCCCAATGTCAGCGGCTGTAATCAGCTACTGCGCCCCGAAACTTTGGGACTCTCTTCCCCCAAATCCATCCGCCTTGCCCTTTCTTTTAGGAAGACCTTCCTCTTCGACCCTGCATACGGTCACCTCCTTCCAACCCCAAGCCCAGAGTCAGGCTCCGGCACCGTTAAGCCTTCTGGGACACTACCCTGCATGAAGGGCGTTGTACAAATGCAAGTTGTTGTTGTTATCTAGATTCCACTTTAAGAGCTACCTCTTTGACGGTACTTATGGTCACTTCCCCTTCTCCCTCTCTCGGCCTCCAACCCCACAACTGGACAGCGCTGTGGGACGCTACCCTGCGTGAAATAAATGCGCGTTGTTGATGATGGCAGAGTGTCAGAGGCTGCACGGGTTCCACGTCAGTCCTGATATTCGAGCCTCCAGACATCTGCCAAGGATTAGCTGTGAAGCGAGGCTGGTGCAGGGCCCTCTGCCTGAGAGAGAACAAAGACCGGGTCCCTCTCTCACTGTCACTGTGGTGAGCTGTGCAGTGAGAGGTGGAATGGCTGCAAGGTGCTGGCTCCTGGTTTGTGGGGTCCTGCTGGTGGGGGCAGTACTGTATGAGTGCTCGATGGCCACTGGCCTGAGCCATGGCCGGGTGGTCAAGCTGAGGTCACAGTGGGCAGTGGGTAAGTTGAGACATCTCAACGATGTGATAAGGCACTGTATCAAACGCAAGACTTATTATTGTTATTATTATCATTATAATTGTATTCAACACAGCATCTAAGGCGGACGCTTCTCGAAGTGCTTCATAGGGAACCGCTGTAAAATGTAATGGCTGGATTTTGTAGACAAAAATAGCAGCGAATTTGAGCACAGTAATGTACCCCATCATACAAGGTGCCCCAACGCACACTTTGGGGTCCTTAAGCCTTGGCCCTTGCCAACCTGTGCCTAATACTTTCCGGAATTAGGAAAGCAGAGTGCATCCTTCCAGGGAGAGAGTGTGCATTTCATTCCAATAAATATCCCTGGAATTTCCATATGTAAGTTGGATGTATGGAATTCTCAGTTTGGTTTGGATACTCTCAAGCACAATGATGGGTTTCCATGTGCGTAGCTGAGCAAAACAAAACTGTTATGAAATGGATGGAGTGGTTCAGTTGGCAGCACCCTTGCCTCTGAATCAGAAGGTTGTGGGTTCAAGCCCCACATCAGGACTTTGCTTTGAGCTCATGGTCCAGGCTGACTCTCCATTGCTGTGCTGGTAGAGCTGTACTTTGGATGAGACGTAAAACCATGCTTTCCTACTACGCCCCAAAGCTCTGGGACTCCCTAGCTCAATCCTCCGTCTCGCCCTCTCTTTGGCTATCGTCAAATCACACCTAAAGACTTTCCTCTTCGACCGTGCCTACGGTCACCTCCTCCACCTACCTTTCCGACTCAGCGTCAAGTCGTGCTGCTGTTCAGCATTCCGAAACACTGCCCACGTGCCGGGCGCTGTGTCACAAGCTGTTGAGGGGCATCTGCAACTTTACGTTTAAAATTAATTTGCAACATGTGGAATGTAAGGATCAAATTCTCATTGATACTGATAGAGACGTGAGTCAGTGGCTGCTATAAAGCCCTCCCCTATCTGCCCCACCCCGTGTGTTGTGTTTCAGGCCATCTCCTGGGGAAGAAGAATCTTCCAGGCTTTTCACGGACAAAAACCGAGCCCCCGGCACGGGAACCGAGAGCACAGACCCCCTGGGAGAGGGGCGATCGCTGAGCAAACAGCCTATGATGTACTACACAAGGTCAGCTTCTCCCTGAGATT